CTGATAAATGATTTTATGAGTTTACATGTTCTGATAAAAAGTTTTAAATTTTTCGTTATTTTTACAGTGGGTCGCTTCGGTGGCCCTAACGTGACTTCCCGGATCGGATCGGGTTACCCGCATCGGTCTGGGGGGTTACAGGTTTGACATGATATTCAACCGGTGACCAAAAAGACGGAAGATGAATCAACTTGTCAGAGGCTATTCGAGATCTATACTATCAAAATGTTTTTTGTCTCTCCAGACGTAACACTTTTGTCCCCAATAAGGATTGTTCATAATAACAGACACATTTTTGGATCAATGTCTCAAACATTGCATGCATTATGTATCTAGACATATTTTGAATTTTTTTATTTTTCTTTACATTCACATTAACTAACAGAAGCATGTCTCATCAAAAAGGAACACATACTGGATACACCACCTCAAGCATTAGACACACCTCATCTGCATAACACCCGTTTGAAAAAGAAAAGACGAATGGAGGCCAGAATTGCTCAAATCAAGGAAAGCATGGCAAAACTACAGAAATAGCTGCAGGATAAGATGACTCAGAACAGTCAAAGTACTCTGGAGTCCATCAAGAAGAACCAGGAGTCCTTGGTCGATCAAATTGTGGCCAAGTTATCGGGTCTCCAATAAGTCAGTATACCAGGGGTAGGTTTATCTGAAAGGGTCACTATACCACCAACCCTACAAGTGGTTATCTCACTCGGGATCTTACCCAGATTACAAGGGGACTCATCTGTTATCAAGGGGAAAGTCATATCTGGTGCAAATATACAAGCTTCTGCAACCAACACTGACAATTATCCGGAAGACTATCATATCCCAAATTTTGACGATGAGTATAAGGCAAAGAAGATGGAAGAGAAGATCAGGATGTTAGAAGATCAAATGAAGATGGTCCAAGGGGACCATGATTATTATGGAGTGGACGCAATTGAGCTGAGCCAGGTTCCAGATTTGGTGCTTCCACCAAAGTTTAAGGTCCCTGAGTTCGAGAAGATCGATGGGAATAGCTGTCCCTCAACCCACATAACTATATTTTGTCAGAATATTATGGGATATGGGGGAAATGACCAACTCCTGATCCACTGCTTTCAGGAGAGCCTATCCGGTTCAGCTATTTGGTGGTACAACCAGCTTAGCCGAACTCATATTAAAACATGGAAAGACTTAGCCAAGTCTTTCTTGGAGCAATACAAACATATTAACAATATGATACCAGACCGGGTTATGCTACAAAGCCTAGAGAAAAAGCATAACGAAAGTTTCCGACAATACACATAGAGATGGAGGGATTTATCTGTGCAAGTTCATCCACCCTTGGATGAAATTGAAACTAGAAAGATGTTTGTACAGACCCTAAAGACACCTTACTTCGGGCACCTGGTGGCAATTATATCGGGAACTTTCTCATATCTAGTCATGGCCGGTGAAATGATCGAACTGGCCATAAAACAAGAAAAAATTGAGGGAGGTGACTCCAGTAAAAAGCCTTCCATGAAGAACAAAGAAATAGAGATCAACAATGCCAACACCTACAACGCCAACAAAGATGTTACGATCTCAAGTTAAAAAACCACTGTTGCTGTAACATCCGATACTTCTAAACGAACTCGGAGAGAACCAAAGAATGAAAGAATCTTACCTGACTAATATGGGGACTAGAACTCATAATGTATTCCGTGAAAATATTCGCATCAGTCCAATCCCAATGACATATTAAGAGTTGCTCCCAGCGCTAGTTGAGAAGAATCCCGTGACTCCGATTCAATCCAAACCTAGAGAGGTCCCATATCCTGAAGGCCATGATATTAACGCCATATGCAGCTATCATATAGGGAGCTCAAGGCACACCACTGAGAATTGTGGGGTATTGAAACGTAAGGTCCAAGATTTGATCGATTCAGGGGCATTGACTTTCAATGTGTAATGGGGCATTTTGATCGAGAGTCAGATGGAGCATCCATCATGAATTTTGTTGCAATCTCAAGCATATCCTCGTGTTTGAACTTGTTTTTTCTTTCGTACTTCTTATATGTGAATATTTTTCAGTCACTCGACGTTCAAACATTTTAAATAAAATGTTTCCTTCTGAGGAAATGAGCAAAATTTAATTTCCTTAAATATAACCTTAATTAAAAACTTTTTAATAATTGAGGTTGTAAATCTTCGACAAATGAAAAGATTGAACTCTACAAAACAATGACCACTTTTGATCTAGAACATACACTCGAATACATACCCTTCTCTTACCAGAACCAAGCTAGCCCTCTCCTCGTATGTATAGCCAATCAAAGGTTTTCAGGTATGTGTTGAGAGTGAACAGAATGGGGTAATTAGCACATGATATTGCAAAACTAATTTGTTTATACCTTTGTTTATGACGTTCAATGATGATCATTATCTTCACAGATGGAATAGTCGAGTAAGCAAATCTAGTTTAGGTCAGTTGTTTGAAAATTGAACTCTAAAGATGAGATTCCTTGACTTTCAAAAACACCTAGACTATAACATCTTCTTCTTGACAAACTTAAGAAATTGGTCTTTTTATCTTTGTCCTATTTTTTCGTTCCACGAAAAAGGACAAAAAGGGGCAACTGTTGACACTAATTTTCCGCCAAAATCACAACTTCCTCCTCACTCCACGTTAGCCGGATTTCTCGGCGCAACAACCACACCAACAAGCGTGCAACAACCGAGCAAGGAGTCTAGTTACATTATGACTCTATTTTTTTTAGTATAAATAACGCATATAACAGAGGAAAAAGAGAGGAAATATACGGGGGAACAAAAAAACAGATTCATTCGAAGGAAAAATACAGAAGCATTTCGGGGGGAGCAAACCGAAAAAATACAGAGAGATATTCGAGCGGAAAAATACGAAAAAGAAATTGAGAACCAAACCAAAAAAGAAAGAGCTTACCTTCGGATTTTCGGAGACCGCAGCTCCGGTGGTCGGATAATAAATACGAACAGTCAACTGAATGAGAAGTTAGAGGAGAATAACATACCTCGGAACAAAAACGATCTAAAGGCCGAATAATCATATCGGAACCGTGGAAACTTGAATGGTTTTTGTTTTTTTTTTCGAGGAGTTGAAGGTCGCATCTCACAAAATCGAGACTAGATCCGAGCTATTGGCGTTAAGCCGATCCTTCCCTTTTAATTTGACACCGAATAATCACGGGAGACTAGCGGTGGGTAGTGGTCCTCCTTTCCCGACTAGGTGATCGACCACTATTTTCCTCTCTGTTAACTTTCTGAAAGTTAAAACACATTTTAAGTGTTTCTGAAAGTTAAAACACATTTTAAGTGTTTTTAGCTTTTGCATTTGTACACACATGTATTAATATTGGTCATATTACTTATGTAATCATTTTAATCTTGGATTAATCTTGATTTGGCCTTCTAACTTTTTATTCTTTATTTTTCAACCCATTTTAATTTCGATTTAATCCTTTAATTTTGATTCGTTTCAATTTGATCCTCTAAGTTTTATTTTATTTTATCATTATTATTATTTTTATTTATTTATTATTTATTTCTCCATATTGTTTTTATTTCATTTCTTTTAAACTCTAACCTTTTGTGATTTCTTTAATATTTTTAAATTAACTTTTTTATTTTTTCCCTTTATATTTTTTGGTTTTCTTCGATTTATTTTTATTTTATTTTATACTTTTTTATTGATTATTTATTTTCTTTGCCTTGTTCTTTCTTTTTTTTATTTTATTTTTTAAAAACTTATTTATTTTTATTTTTTTCTCTTGATTTATTATTTTATTATTTTTTCCCTTTTATTTATTTAATATTTACTTTTTTATTATTTTTTATCTAACATTTTCGACCCTTTTTCAAAAAAAAATTCAACTAATCAAAGATAATCAATTCGAATCGAATGTTTTAAATTTCAATTTAAATTTAATTTTTTGTAATTAAAAACAACCGATAAATTAATTAGTACCTAAAGGGCGATTCAAGGGTGTTAATCATTTCTTGACCGTAACCGACTCCCGAACCCGACACGTTTCTGATACAACGCATATCAGGTAAGATGGTATCTGACCCGCCTAAATTCGTTTTAAAATAATCGATGACGACTCTAACCCAATCAATCCAAGTCGAAGCCCAATTCCGGGCTCACCCGAAAGATGATTCCAACACATATTAACATTTTAATATTGATCCTATTATAAATATAAATAATTAACCTTAAACGGAAAAAAAAACGTTTTCAATATTTTTAAAAAAAAAAAAAGAAAAGAAAAAGAAACAATCGCATCACACCTTTAATGACGAAAAGTTCAAAAAAAAGTTAGGTGAACTATTAAGATTGTTCATAAGTCTGACCGAATTTGGTCATCAGCTTAAAAATTAAGAGAAATGATCACTAATGTTATTGATTCATTCGATTTTAGTCCCTAACATTATCAAACAGTTCAATTTTAGTCCATCAATTGTTAACTCTAATTTGATTTTAGTCCCTCAACCATGTTAGGAACTTAAACAAAAGGCAGTTAATGAAAATTAAAGGCTGAAAGACTAAAATCGAACGCATTGATAATGTTAAGGACCATTTTCCCTTAATTTTAAAATTGGTGACCAAAGTCGGACATACACTAAACATAGGGGACTATCCGCATAGTTTACCCAAAAAGTTTATGTAAAAAGTTCAATGCTAAAATAATATCAATTATGCTACTCACAAATTTACACCTTCATCTCCTCAGTCCCCATCCACCTAAAATAGAATGAGCTTATTGCCTTCGATGTTGTAGGCATAGTTCTAAGCAAAAAAACAACAAAAAACCTTATAAAAATATCATAAAACTGTTTACTTTTTTAAGCTCGATCGAGTTTTACTTTTAAAGTTTAAAAAACTCGATCTAAGCTTGATCAAGTTTCACTTTAAAAGTTTAAGAACTCGATCGAGCTTGATCCAAAATAAAAATCGAGTAACTAAGTTTTGCTTACACCCCCTATGTATATAACCAATGCAGAGATTAGTTCTTACCAGGATCTTCATTCATACCATGAAAATGAAGAATGGAAGAACAAAAATAACATAAATGCCTGATATTTTCATTTGCCAGAATCCAATACAAGATTCATGTCATGTCTGGCCGCGTAGGGGAGATTTCGAGACAATGGTTAAACACTAGCAACAACATAAAGCTCCCATCGAATTGGTCAACGGCCAAATTGCTAATGGAATCTTCATATTGATCGAACAAATTCATACATCGATGACAGTATAAGCAACGATTGCAGTTCAAGTTCACATAAAAAAAATGCAGATCCAACGGTTAATTTCTTTTGCTAACAAGTTTACCTGCAAATGAATGTGTCCAGCAGTTACTGAGGTAACGGCTTTCGCTAGCTTATATTACTAGAAACTGCTAAGCTTTCACTTCGACTTGTTTCGACCCCTGCTCCGGTATCAACAATCCAAACCCTTCTTTAGTTCTAGCATCTGCAAAAGATCGATTCTTGTTCATATACACCGGATTCGAAGTCAATACCCTCAACCCCGAGTTCTTATTAATCTCCAAAACTTCAGGCAATCCGTTACCACAGCCTTTCGACATTCCGACATCGATCCTTATTGCTCTAGAATCACAAACACCATTAATCCCGGCCTCTTGAATAGTATGACCCATTATCATCCTTTTCGCACCAGGGATCGTAGCGAGAACGTGTTCTAGAAGTGAACAATCACAGTTCTTCGCTAATTCATCCGAAAACTTCCTCAACCAAACCACAGCATTCCTCCCTCTACAATACTTTGGTGCTCGGCCCCCCATCGATCCATTAATCCAATCCCTCACCTCTTCATTGATCCTCTGCAACCCATAGTCCACATGTTTGGCTAAAAGGCCACCGTGGACGAAAACTGAGTCGCCAACGACTAAAACAGTCGAGTTATTAGCTAAGAATCTACGGGAAATCGGACCATTTGGTCTCAATGCAGCAATTCTAGCTCTAATACTATGAGAAAAATCTTCAGGGACTCTATGAAAAGATAAAGGAATCCCATGAAAAGGGTTCTTAGGGATTTCTAAACCATGGCATAAACTCTTCATCTTGTTCCCTATAGCATACCAATAAGCCCAGACATCAAATTCCTGCAAACCCTTTTCAGTTACAAACCTGAAATCACCTTCAATGTTCATTATCTCGTGATTCCCATTCAAAGTTATCAGCTGTCCACCAGTTTTAACAGCTTCACGCTTCAGTTTCTCCAAGAAATAAAGGATCTTGAGCTCTTCCCCGCCACGGTCAAGCACGTCGCCGATCTGAACAACGGTGGTAGACCCACCGGACCAACGATCGGACCCATCGATGAGGCCGGCGAGACGGAAAGCTTGCTTGGATTTCTCGAGATCTCCGTGGAGGTCGCCGATGGCGACGAGGCGGTCAGGGGGAGGGTAATGAGTTTGAAGAGGTTTTTGAGGAATTTGTTGCTGTTGGGGCAGGAAAAGGCCACTCACTGAGAAGTCTACGAAGGTGTCGACGAATGAAGAGAGGAATGAAGGTAGGTTTTCGCATGTCAGCGGTGATGATTGGGTTTTTTGTTCCATTTTTTTTCCTTGATGATCTGTGCTTCGTTTGATGGGTATGGGTATATGCAAATTTATTGTCTATTGACTAAAAATGGTGAAAGTCTCCAGGGCAGGAAAGCTTAGACCTGGGGAAGGACATGGGGATCAAATTCCATGAATTTTGATTGGATCAGACTTCATTGTATATAATTTTGTAAAAAATACAGATAAGTCGTGTTGAGGATTTTAGAAGGGATTAAATATAAAATAAGTGTTTAAATTATAATTTTTTTACAAATAAGTGTTTAAGTTATTTTTTAAATAATATTGGTATTTAATTTTATAAATGTTACCACTTTAAGTGTCTGGACCATCAACGATATTAATTTGTTCTTTTAGTTTTATTTTTTTAAAGAAATATATTAAAAATATTATTATATTTATAAAAAATCCTAATTTATCTTAAATTACAAAAAAACTCCCAAAATCCTCAAATCTTAACCCTAACTCATAGTCGATGCCTTTCTCGGCCATGACCACCGTAGACGTAGTCCTTACCATCCTCCTAGTCCTATGTCCTCGTAGTTGACGTCGATTGGCCATCGGAATCGTGTGGGATCGTGATTTTCATCCTAGGGTTTGCATGGTATAAAACGTTGATTCATTGTCAATCGATCATCGATTGATCAATATTTCATGGGGTTTGATCGTCGGGGGAGGTGGGTTGGGTAAAGCTTCGTTGACAGCAAAAGGCGACAGATGGCTTAGGTTTAAGGGTTGAAATGAAAGTTTTCAAAGTTCGAGGTTATTTCAAAAATTTTGTGCTTTTTAAAATATATATGATTTTAATTTTTTATTTTAAATATAATTTTTAAAATTATCATATTGTGACACATGTCACTTAACGTAGAAAATTAATGTCGTTGACGGTCCAAATACCTAAAGTAGTAACGTTTGACATTAAGGTCATTCAAAAAAATACTTTAGACACCTATTTATGAAAAGTACAATATTTTGAATACTTATTTTATATTTAAGCCTCATGGAAGATAAGTTGAGTCACATCGGATTCTAATTTAGGATAAAAAAATGTTTAACATAACTCGATCTGACTTGTTAAATAGTGTAATTATATCTTATATACTTATAGATTATTATAATAATGATATCTCTATATTTTTTAATAGATCCTTATTTTATTAAATAAAATTAAAAATTATATAACAAGTCTGGATGCAGGTTTTACCTCACAAAGTATGTCGAGTTTAGGATTGGATGAAATTATTCTAAGCCTCAGTCGAATCAATTTTAGATAGAATAAATATTTCAACAGGTCAGATTAGATTGATTAAAAATTCGACCCAACTCAACATGTTTATCCGTACTTAAACCTTAACAGCACAGTTGATAGGCTAAGTGAGCCCAACTGTTGTTGAATTTGGAGTTTTGGACCCAAAGACTCTTCAAAGAGAGAAGAAAAAAATTGGAGCTTTCAGGCTTAAATAAAACCTTTCAACAGCAACCAAAACCCCCTATAAGCCCTAGAACCTAATTCTTTGTGTCCCTTTCTTGAATCAGATTGCCTGAAGGAAGAAAGGAAGACAAGCAATGGATCACATAGCAGCAGTAGAACAGCAAATGGTTTCAGAAAGAATGAGGAGGAAACTTGATGAAGTAAACACAGCAGCTCAAGCTCAACTTGCTACTGTCCAAGACCACATCAATTTCACTCTTCAGGTTTCCAAGATTAAATCTTTACCCTTTTTCTTGCTTCCATTTTTCTCAATTGATATTAGTCACAATAACCTAATGTTTTCCCTGAAACTATGATTTCTTCGGGCTATTTGATTGCTTCTTGTAGATGGGTTCTGTTCAATTCTTGCTTAGGAATTTTTGGAACTAAATTGATTATTAGATTGTAAAGCTTTGAACTTGCTGGTTACTGTAGATATTTTCTTGGTTGCGTTGGTTTTATTTATTTTGTTCAAATTTGTTTTAATGATTGGTTGCAGCAAGCGTATTTCAAGTGTGCATATGAATGCTTTGATAGATCAAGGAAACAAGAGGAGATAAGCAATTGTGTTGAACATTGCAGTGTTCCTGTTGTTAATGCTCAGCAGCATTTCGAGAACGAAATGGCCAAGTTTCAAGTGAGTTTCACATGTCTACAAATTTTTGTTTCAATGAAGATACTTGGGCTTTGGTTTTCTCTTCATTGAACAGTTTTAACTTTTCTATGGTTAAAATTTCCCTTTCACTTTCTTAGTTCCACTCTACCTTTCTTTCTGTCCTAACAAATTTAGGGACCTTTCCTTTCCATGATTGTATTAAAATCGAGCTGCTCTTAGTCTGTATGTTTTATGCTTTTTCTGGAGTTCTATTTTAGAAGGGTGGTTTCCTAAAGTTAGCAACTTGAACCCATCGCCTCTTGCATTTGTTCTCTCACTTCATGCATTTTGAGAAAATAATAGTTAATCTGTGGAGTGGAGTTGATTGAATGGCAATACGCTGTCCCTCTAATCATTCAGTAGGCTGCCCGTGATTCTGAATAATGTTCGAGAAATGTTCACATCAAGCATCATTGAACTGATGTCCAACCCCTTTTGTTAAGTCAAAATAGAAATAAGGTGCTGCCGTTTCATGCTCATTGGAAAATGCTCAAAGGCAGCATATGACATCTTAAGGGTAGTTTGTAAGTTCTGGAGAAAATGCAAATGACAAATAGTTATTGGTGGAAACCGATTCGTAGTTTACACCTGATTGAATGTGATTAATGATTCCAAAGTAGCTGGAACTTAATATCTACCTTAGTACCATACATTTTGGAGGGTGTAACAGGAACCGACAAAGAATAGGGAAATGAGTTCTTTAGAAAAGTTGAATTACATCACTGTTTCCCTGTTGCTTTGCTAGTCACTTTGTTGGTCTGATGATATCTTTGAATGTTCAATTGGAACCTTAATTGAACCTTATGTTGATCATCCGATAAATTTATTTCACAATATAGCCAGTGGTTGTGTTCGATGTTAGAGAATTCTCGGTGTATGGTTCTTCAGCTTTTATTCTGGAGAAAACAACGTTAATTCTTCTCTACGTAGCAATCTAAGGATTCTCCATGTTTAGATTTTGTTGTTCTATTGACCTTTCATCCAGATATTACACCATAATAATACATTGATGGATAATTGTTGTAATGGATGTAGGAAAGGTTAAACCGATCCTTGATGGTCTGCCAAGATAAGTTTGAATCGGCTAAATTTCAACAAAATAATACCGATGCAGTCAATGAGCTGGAGTCGTGTGTCAACCAGTCAATCGAGGATAACATGAAGACACTGCCACACCTTGTCAGGAGAATGAATTCTTCTTTCAACATCAGCGCTTGAGCCCAGATTTTTACTTACAGGATTTTAACTCGAAGCTTGAGATTTTATGTTATAGGCATCTGGCTAACAATGCCCTTAAACTAATGACCTTTTGTTATTGTTTCTTCTTGGCAGTTGATTCTGCTTTGAATTTGAGAAACTACCTCTTGATTTCGTGGGTTTAAGAAAATGAACAATAAAAAAAACTCAGTAGTAAGGGACTGTTTTATAGATCTTTAATATCAGACAACTTTGTTTATAAAATTGCAGCAGAATTCTAATCAAATTTATTGTTGCCGTAACTCATAGTTGAAGAATTTCAAGGAAATGCCTTCTCAAGGGTTTACATACCATTACCAAAATGGTCCAACATCTCCATGGAGGAAAAAATTGTTTTTATTCATAGAAAAGTACAAGAGACTTATGGTTCAGGCTGCATTTTCTCACATTCATCTCGAATGGATTGGAAAAGTACCGAGGAGAGGTATCGCTCACCAAAGCTTGGAAACAAGACCTGAAAGTATTCAAATACTTGTGAGTTATGTCATATTACATGTTTGAAAATGGTTGTATAGCTATCAAAAATGGGAAAAGAATAAGCATGCAACAGATATGCACGAGCGTACAAGTGCTAGTGTGCACCAAAGAAGTGAACAAAACAAGAGGAGGGAAGGGTTAACATCGGGAATATAATGCCTAAAGGCAGGTTCGTGACATAACATTATAACATAAGGGTTTGGCTTCATGTTGGTCATATTCAGATGAGACTTTTACAAGGAAAGACCTAGTCCCAGCTATTTTCTAGCAGACTACCAGCCAACTCTACATAAGCTTCGATCCAAAGTTCACTGTTCTTATGTTTGGAAGCTTCTATTCACTACCACCCCTTAATTTTATATGCTTATTTCTAGCTTTAACGTTCTATTTGACGTTTACGATTTCCAAAATACAAGTATCCTACTAGAAAAACTGCAGGTCAAATTCTTAGTAAATGCGAAAAATACTTACAGCAATCAGCTTCCCAGCATTGTCCGGTCTTTTCCCAACTTTAATTGCGGCAGCTGCTGCTGCGCCAGAGGATATGCCAACCTGATAACAGTATAATGAATCAAATTAGTAACGAAGTTATGTTATATAGCATATGTAGAACACGATATACGAACGGAATATAATTGTCTCTGTTTGCTCATTTTTTATTTTTTTATTTCCAAGGGGTTTCAAAAGTCTTCCGCGAACACAAACCACATGACTCTGAATGAGCCAAGTCCGAGAACCTTCCGATTGTTTAAGCTTAGGTCAAGCTTTTGAGTTACAAAGGTCATACGTATGAAGAGAAATGACTTCTTCCCATTTGTATTAACTTCCTATTTTTTTTGATAGGAATAAAAGGCCTCAATAAACCCCCTTGGTGGTTAACGGAACTTAAAAATAGTTCCTTAATCCACACAAGGAGGAAATGAGTGCCCTAGGATTCAATAAACTCAAATATAACAAAGTAATACAAACCATCTCCCTCAAGAGATATAAAACCAAAAAGAAACAGCCCTTAACAGAGCATAATTCAACCAATACCCGCCTTAGCTAGGACATCCGCCTCTATATTGGCTGTCCTACTAACCCAACTAATAAAACCTTCAAAAACACTAAGCTTTTGAATAATGTCTTTAACTATTTGAACATAAACAACAGGACAAGAGACCACATCCTTAATCCAGCCAACTGCCACCTGACTATCACTCTCAATAATCAATCTATCTTTAACCCTATGACGAATAGATTCAAAAAAATCTAAACCCTTTAGGATAGCCTTCAATTCCATTAAAGTTGGGGGCCCCGGACCAGCCGGCTCTTTGAAGGAGCCAAGAATCGAACTAGACATGTCATTCAAAATACCACCTAAGCCACTCCTCTTCCAATCACTCGAGGTAGCCGCATCCACATTAAGTTTAACAAAACCTTTTGGAGGAGGGGACCAAGGAAACACGGTTGAAACCCGATAAGAATGGGATGAGTAGGAATCCACTATGGACGGGTCAGCAATAATATCATTCTTGGAAATAGTAACTTGAGTTTCCTTAGCTAGAAACCATGAAGCAAGCCTGCACCTAGCTAGAAAGAAAATCTCTGCTCGATAAAGCTTCCCTCCTTCAAACACAATAAAATTCCTGGTCTTCCAAATTGTCCATAGAACAGCTCCAGGAATAAATGGCCAGATAAGAGAGTTGGTCTTCAAGTCATTCCAAGCCAATAGGAATCTTTTAGCATCTGCATGAAAAACCGACTGAAAATTCCAATATCCCAAGAATTTCATCCAAATTGGCCAAACAAACGAACAGGAAAAAAATAAATGCGATGAAGACTCTTCTTCAAGATTACAGAAAGAACACAAAGTATCATTTATGCCCCGAACACCTCTCTTAACCAAAGCTGTCTTGACCGCCAACTTCTTTAATATAACTTGCCAAAGAAAAGTCTCAACTCTTGGAGGCAACCGACCCCTCCAAACATTATACTTCCAAAATTTAGCTTCCTCTGAATCGGGAGAACCCGAATAAGATAGGTTGACACATGATTTCACAGTGAAAACCCCTTCCCCATTCCCCTTCCAAAACAGTCCATCAGTGGCATCAGCAGAAATAGAGAAATCAGAGATAACAACCATCAAATTTGCCCATTGCTCAAATTCCCAGTCATTCAACTCTCTCCTCAACTGAACGTTCCAAATCCAACCCCCTGAACTGAACTCCCCAAACTGAGATAATCTTCCTTCTTTATTTACTGCAATAGAAAATATTCTAGGGAACAAAACCATCAAAGGATGATCCATTGTCCAATTGTCTTGCCAAAACCGAATGTTACTCCCATTGCCAATTTTAAAGCTATATTTACCTCTGATACTACAGCCCAACGAATCAGCATTATAATGATTTCTCACAATATCTCTCCACATCCAGGATAGTTTAGGAGAGACTTTACTGTCAAACTGCATCAAGGAAGGATCCAATTTATATTTGATGCAGAGCATTTCCCTCCAAACCGCCTCCCTCTCAATAGCAAACCTCCAAGCCCACTTTTCCAAAAGTGCCCTATTCACCACCTTTAAATTAGGAACCCCCAATCCTCCTTCAATTTTTGGTTTACAAACATCGGACCAGCTTACCCAATGTATCTTCTTTCTCCCATCACCACCACCCCACAAAAAATTTGACATGATAGAATTTAGAGTCTTGTAAACTGAAGCTGGAACCTTGAACATTGACAAAAAGTAAATCGGGAGTGAGCATAGAACTGATTTAATTAGAACTAGCCTGCCTGCCAGTGACAGAGAGGAGCCTTTCCAGCCCGCTAACCTCTTATTAAAGCTTTGAACCACTGGATCCCATAGAATGTTGGAGTTCCTATGTGGACCTAGAGGGAGTCCCAAATATTCTGAGGGAAAAGAGCCCACTGAACATCCAATCATAGTAACAACATGGCAATAACAAATTAATGTCGGTAAAGGACCATTTATTTTTTCTTTCAGTCCAAACTTTTAAGTCACTTTCAAGTTGAAGAAAAATAATTTACCATCAAGCCTTCTTGAAGAGCTAATTGCTTTGCAGTTTCAACAGCTTCATCACTGGATATCTGTCAATTCAAATCCATCACAAGAACACACGACTTCATGAACCGAAGCCAATAGAGAAACTTAATACGAAGAAAACCTCAACTACCAGTTTGATGACACTAAGGCCACATAAAAGTAACATACAGAAATCACAAAAATTTAGCCACGAAAAAGGAAAACAAAACTCAGACCTCAATAACTTCATCCATCACATTTTGGTCCAAATTCCCAGGTATGAATCCTGCTCCAATCCCTTGTATCTTGTGAGGACCTGTATTTGATAAGGGTAAGGTGGGGTGTCAATATGACGTGCATATTCCAAAAAATTGACAAATGAGGATAAAAAGAAGGTTATCTCCTCCTACCAGGCTTTCCACCGGAAAGTATGTTGCTCTCTGTAGGTTCGACACCAATAACCTAATACATCCAAAGACATAAACAGTCAACTATTCAGCTGCAAAATAAGGCAAGGCCCTTCTTGAAAAAATAAAATAAAAAGAATTCCTTAAAGAAAATCAGTGGTGTTAGTTAATACTAAAAATTGTTTTTGTTTGATCATATATTCTCTATAAGACATCTCAAAAATTCAATGCGAAAATGTTCCGAAGGGCATGTGATATAAATGCCATTCAGGGTCTGTTAAAAGTGGATGATCACCTTTATGTTGGGATTCTTTTCTTTAAGGTACCGGCCAACTCCAGATATGGTTCCACCAGTTCCAATCCCTCCAATAAAAATGTCCACTTTGCCTCTAGTGTCTTCCCAGATCTCAGGGCCGGTTGTCTCATAGTGTATCTGCAAAAGGAAATATGATTTTTTTACCTAGGCCACAAAACTCAGCAAGGTGCGAATAAGGAGTTGTAAATACAGACTTTGGGATTTGCTGGATTATCAAACTGTTGAAGCATGTAGGCATTGGGTGTACTTTTCACAATCTCTTCAGCTTTCTGAACAGCACCCTTCATGCCTTTTGCCGGATCCGTTAAAATAAGCTCAGCTCCAAATGCTTTCAAAAGAACTCTTCTTTCCAAACTCATTGATGATGGCATTGTCAAGATAAGTTTATATCCTTTTGAGGCAGCAATGAACGCAAGGCCGATGCCTGTGTTTCCACTTGTAGGTTCCACAAGAATACTCTAAAGATGTTTAAGAGTAAATGGTGAGCATCAGCACATAAGTACCGGTATTTATCTAAAATAAAACATGTAACAAGTAGCAATCACACATGAGTTAACAATAGTGGAGACTAAGATTGATCTACAAAGGGTCTTTTTAAATTTAAATCACAATCTCCAAAATGCAAGTATATAAATAATAAAATAGAAAAGATAAAAGAATTATATCATATTTTTCCATTCAAATCGGAGCACAGGCTCTATTTCATCAGTGGACAACATAGAGAGCTAGGAAAGCCATTACCAACAAAATATAACAGGATTTTGACACTAAAAAACCTCTAATGAAAAGCCAAAAAATAAGATGCAAGACTGGATCTTGAATCTATGCAGGATAAAATAAGTCAAATGAAAAATATGCCTAGCAGCTGTGTGATGAGATAGTAAAATACAGGCATCTATACGGAGCCACACATCACTCCAACCTTATGTTACGAAGTTAGGCCTCTCTTTCTACAACAGGACAGCCTAAGTCATTGATTGTGATATTAGACGTGAAAATCTGAATGCTTCACAATATATATTTAAAGCCACGGTTTTAGGCATAACTGATGAGCTCAAGATTGCTGAAATAGCAAAGCATATTGATCGAACAGTGGGAACCTATACATAAAATAGAACTCCCACTTTCCTTTTCAGAAGACCATCCAATAATACCAAATTTAAGACAAAGTATTCAAAACAGTGTGAGAAAGCAAATTTTGACTATATATTTGTTGTTTAACATACACAACACACGGACAGAAGTCCCATCTACCTCTCATTACCTTTCCAGCTGTTATAAGTCCTTTTTGCTCAGCATCAGCAATCATACTGTACCCTATCCTGAAACAAATTTTGAAAAAAGCAGTTAATTGCCTGGTCTTCCTTATATTAAAAGTTCAGTGACAGAACAGATAGCATCAACCCTCATCCAAGAGATTCTGGAATTTGATAAATCTGGGGTGATTCAAGGTAATATCTGTTCAAAGACTAAAAAAAAAAGAGAGATTCTGGAATTTAAATAAGGACAAAAGCCTGAATGAACTCTACTTAAAAGATATCCTTATCAAAACTTCAGCAGAGGGTTCAGCAAAAATAACAACCATTTTCTCCTAGATCTCAAGGTAATGCTTTTTAACTATTAGCAAATAACGAGCTTTCTAACTAATGCATACAAGCTACATGATGCTTATGAAAAAATTTCGCTACCTGTCCTTCACACTGCAACATGGCTCCATAATCTCAAGCTTGGCTGCAATATTTGCGACAGAGCCTTTCACAATATTGTTCAAGTACACCATTGGTGTTTTTCCAATAAGCTGTGTTACAAAACAAATAATAGAACTAAATAAATAACTCAGCAAAACAAAAATAGAAAGGTTCATTGATTATTAAATTTATACAAGTTTGGTTCTTTCGCCATTGAGATAGCATGTGCTACGAGCAAAATAGCAAAGAGTTTCATATAGAAAAACCGGAGACTCAGACACTGTACTTTTTTTAAATGGAATCATTTCTAAACATTGTTCAAGAAATAATCTTTCTGGATGCTGAACAAATAGTCTTCACTCCCTCAGATATATAACATCCTGATGAAAGGAACAAAGAACCTCAAATCAACTAATCTTAATACTAATCTAAAATTATTGAGGTCACGAAAGTAGGGGTGAACAAAACTGACTCGAGTAAAAAAAACTGAATTTTTTGACAGGACTCAACGTTGAAAAACTCGTTTTAACTATACTCAACTAGCAATTTCAAAAAACCGAATTGAAAATTTTTCAAATAAAGTTTGAGTTAGTACTCCAATAGCTAGAAATATTTAATAATTGGTGGATTGATTTTAACGTTTAGGTTGAGTCTCTCAACTTTACATGATAAATAAATATAACATATGAAAGAACTATATAGGTATATTATATATGGTTATAGAAAACTGTTTAAATTAAAATCAATTAGTATAGTAACATTATAAATATTTACAATTAAATTTAAACAGAAAGTAGAACAGCTTGAATTGAACTCGAAAAAAACAAATAACTCATTCGACTCTATCGAACAGTCAACCTACAAGAAAGTACAAAATTTAATCCAGAAAAACATGTAGTGGCACCAGAATTAAGAACCCAGAAAGCAGAACTTGAAAATGTCCAAGAATCCGAAACACTTCAAAAATCTAGTCAAACTAAACACTGAAAGCCAAATTCTCCGAAAATAAATGCAACCCGTTTCTCAATCCCGACCGAAATTCAAGAAACAAACATAAATTAAACCATGAAAATGAGACCTGAGTAACGTCATCAGCAATGTTAAGCCCTTCGATCGCGGTGTCAGGCTTAACCGAAACAGCTTCACACACAACAGAGAAACCAGAAGACGATCCTTTCCCATAATTCAGCTTCTTGAATCTCAGTGATGCAGCGGTGGTGTTAGTGGTGGGACCAAAAAAGCCCAGCTTGAGAGCGCCGGCAGAAAGGTCGGAGCAGGGCTTAATCTTGTTGGAGTTGCAGTGTTTAGAAGTCAAGGGATTGAAGAAGATAGAGGAAGAAGAAGCTGCGGCCATGTTTTGCTTTCCTCTTTTTGGTTCGTTTCCAAAAGCCTGCAGATATTTATCTTTGATTCGTTGCGTTGCGTCCTTTGGCATTATTCCGAGTAGTACAGTTTAACCTAGGTAAAATATGCATTTAATTTTAGTTATCTAAATTTTTAATTTTTTTAAAATAATATCTAATATTTAGTTTTTATTTCATTTTAGTTATCTGTCATTAAAAATTTAATGCGTTTAGTATTTAAACTATCAGTTTTAGTCTATTTTAATACATAAATTTTCATTTTTTTCAAAACTTAATGCTAAATTTGAACGACTGTACTAAAATGAAACAAAAACTAGAGTTTTCAATGGCGGGTACTAAAATAAAACAAAAACTAAACTTTAGGTATTGTTTTGACAAAATTAAAAATTTAAATATTAAAACGAATCAAAATTAACAATTTGAGTTATAAATATATATTTTACCCTTTAATTTAAGGCTGAGGATGGTAGAGGATGGTGTAATCGAGAATGTTATAAAAATATATAATATTTTTGGTTGAGACATTTTAAATATTAATTTTTTTAATATTTTGGTTGAGTTAAAAATACTTTCAAGAAAATAATATTTTTTAATCAACCAAAAATGTTAAAAAAATTTAACATTTAAGTTGTGTCCAATTAAAAATATTACTATGTATTTTATAATATTTTCGACCGCACTCATTCTCTTCTATTTTTAACCTTAAATTATATTGTGGTGACTTAGACTATCCCATCATTACTCACTCACAATTACGCATGTTATCGAACAATAAATAGAATGGTAATTATATATCGGGCAAACTTCATATTTAATATTTAAATTATTACTTTTATTCTGTTTTATATCTAAATTTTATTTTTTTTTAAATTAAACTTAAATTTAATTTTAATTTTAATTTGAGTTAAAAATTAATAATTATATCAAAACAAATAATCAAATGTTCAACTCTTTGACCCTCCAATGTATAATAATATCATGCGTGACGGAAGTTATGTTTTTCTAAGAAAAAGGAATAATAGAAAAAAATATTTGAGAAAATAGTGTCTAGGTACAATGAATGTAGACGAAAAATTACACACTCTTTCGAGGCCTCAAAGGTCAGTTTCACGATCCAAGTTGGGCTGCTCATAGTGTGATTTTAAATGGTCAATAAATTATGTTAAATGGTCTTTTTAGTCACTAAATTTATAAATATTATAAAATTATCATTATTTTCTTTTTGAATAGATATAAAATGATGGCTTAATACAAAAATAAGAGTTATGCCTTGAAAAATGTTTTAGTGCTTATAGAAATTTTTGTTAAAAATAGGTGTCTAACGTTTCTTAATTATTTTTTAGGTGATTGCCGTTTTTTTTATAAATAAAAAAATTATTTTATAAAAGAAAAAGAAAAAATTAAAAAACTTAATTTATTTATAAAAAATCCAAAGTTTTTAAAACTTACAAAATAACCCCGGTTGAGTTTTCACTGGAGCTTTGAAGTTTCCTCCACGACAAACGACGACGCTACTCGATGAGAGGATGGTTGGGTTTCCCCCTGTGTGAGACGACATTCTCACTGGTGTAAGCGGTGATAGTCACGACTGGTCGGAGAAGGGTTCGGCGGTGAAGGACAACGAATGAATTCTTATTGTTGGTCAGGGTTGGGGTCGCGAGGCGCCGACTAAGCTGTTGCTGGTGGCGGTTTACACCACCAACTGTTGTGGCGATGGCATCAGGGAAGGGGAAGGGACGGGGACGGGGACAGGGACAGGGACAGGGGTGGGGGATTTTTTTTATTTTTTTAAAAAATATATTTGTTTTTTAATATTTTTTTAAAAATTTTTAAATAAATCTCAAAACTATCCGAACGTGACATATGTCACTTAACGGAGAATTTTAATGGCGATTAGCGTTCATGTGTCTAAATGTATAATGTTAAAAACATTAGGTACCTATTTTTGGCAATTTTACCCAAAAATCACCCTAACAGTTAAATATTACCGATCTAGCACCATTTCTGACAAAGCGCGGATCATTCGGCACACCTTCGTAGGATTTTTTCATAGCTAGCACCACGGTGGAAAAGTGCGGATCATAATTTGCGCCTTCACAGCTTCTATCGAAGCTAGTGCCACGGTGATAAAACGCGTATCATGAAGCGCACCTTTGCTAGGAATCAAACACGTGGCAGAATGTGCAAATCATAATCTGCGCCTTACATTTAAATCCCAAACCGTCCCTCCTTAAATACCACCCAACCCCCCGTCCCCCTCCCCCTATAAATACCCCCTCATCTAACACTCATACTACACAAAAAAAGCTCTATTTTTTCCTTCTACATATCGTTGTATCAAGTTTTAAGTAAGTATAGTTATCGTTTTTAGAAGCTAAATTTTTTATTATATTATAATCATTTAATAGTTTATTATTTTATTATATTTTATTGTACTAATTTTATTACTTTTTGCAGTTATAAAATGGCAGTGGGGTTGCTTCATTTAGATGAGAATAATATATCGAGTTATTTTGCCGATACTATAATAATTTTAAATTCTGTTATTTTATTTATCATGAATGCTTTATTCATTTATTTTTTTTAGTTTTAATTTATATTTTAATTGGTATACTATTTATTTATTTAATTAGACGAATGACCGTATATTAGATCCATTTATTCATAATGCTAAATTAGAAATATTGAGTCGTGTCTGGCCGTATTTAGCTGAGGCTAGATTCGGTTACATAGCGAAATATGTAGGGCATTGTAACATTGAATTCAACCTTATTTCTGCATTGATTAAGATGTGGAGACCAGAGACACACACATTCCATCTTCCGTGTAGGGAGTGTACTATTACGCTGGAGGATGTTTCCTTATATTTGGGGCTTCTGGTAGATGGGGATGTTTTTTCTGGTGTGGAAGATGGTGATTGGCATTCCTTGTGCGAGGAGTATCTTGAAGGTATTCTGCCTAATTTCAACGGTGGTCGAATACCGTTATCATGGTTGGCTAGAAATTTTTGACGGTTGAGCGACGACAGTTTCGAGGAACATGCTCAAATATTTGCCCGGGATTGCATATTGCAACTCATAGAAGGGATCTTTATGCCCAATAAATCTCACAACCAAGTTCATTGTATGTGGTTGCGTCATCTCGCAGATTTTTGAGTTGTTGGCTCATTCAATTGGGGCTCCGTGGTTTTGGCATCTCTATATAGAGAAATGTGTCGAGCAACTAATTATCAAAAAAATGCTATCGGTGGATCTCTCATTCTTCTACAATCATGGGTGTGGTATTACATGCCTTTTTATGTCTAGTCGTGAAAAACCCGTTAGTCTTCCCGTTATTGTTGAGGTAATTTTAATAATAATTTTTTCGAGTATATAATGAATTTTTTTTACATTGAATAGGTGGTCATCTATAAGGAAATATCATCGTGATATACCGGATGAATTGGAAGAAATTCGACTGCTCATTGATCAAAAGGCTGGTACGAATGTATATATTTAAATTTTATTATTTACCTTTAATTATTGTTATATAATTAGAATATTATTTTGATAATAATTGTATATATTTGTTTTAGTTTTAATGGGCTCCTTATTCTACTGAAGAAATAAGGTGTTGCATCATACCTCACTTGAGTGGCACACTAGATGTATGGATAGCGGTGGTCCCTCTGATATATTATGCTATTGTCGAGTGGCATCCTATTGATCGTGTGCTCCGCCAATTTGGTTTCGTACAATCTATTCTTGAAGCACCTCAGAATCTCGACAATATGCATAACATCGATAGACAGGGCAAAAAAAAAGTAAATTGGCTGATGATGGACATCGAGTGGGTAATGATATGGGAGGATCGACGCGGACGCATTCCCTGTAGGGAGCCAATTTATGTGGATTATTATTCGGTTACGGATGACCATTATCAGTAGTTCAACATGAACGGAAAGTCTTTCCTACTTTCTAAGGAAGCACGAGGCGAGAGCATTCATCGGCATCGAGAAAAACGTCCACTGTCACAGCATCATCATCCCCTGACTCGTGGAAAGAGAGCACGAGCTTCCGGCTCATCCTCAGCTGGAGCACCAGAACCATCACTACAGCCACCGATTTATATTTCGCAGCCATTTCAAATGGCACCGCAACCATTTCAGATGCCACAACCGCAGGATTTTATGACACCTCCTGGCGGATATACTCTCATGCTTATAGATCCACCGTGGTCTTCATATGCAGCTTATTTGGCGGGTGATGGTTTACCAGAGACATAGACACCTCCGGCTTAGTTTTCACATTCATTGATATCGATGTTTTCGCAGTTTTCATAGTTTTCTATGAGTGGTGGAAGGTTAGTCAAACACTTCCATGGTCCTTATTCTATGGAGGTGCTCGTCATCTATCCCTCATCAACAAAATGTAGCTGCTACTGCTGCTACTTCTACTGATAAGAGTGAGGAGGAATATCAACTTATACGAAGAAATCCTCATCGAAATAGACAACCACCGCCCTATGGAACACATTCAAGACGCAGACATCGATAGACTTGTTTTATTTATTTTGTTTCTTAATGTTTTTATTTAACTATCGACTTTTTATTTATTTTGTTTCTTAATGTTTTTATTTAATTATGAACTTTTTATTTATTTTGTTTTTAATATTTTTATTATTTAATTATGGATTTTTATTTATTTTATTTCTTAATGTTTTTATTATTTAATTATGGACTTTTATTTATTTTGTTTCTTAATGTTTTTATTATTTAATTGTTTGAATTGTAACATTTGTATTTAATGTTTCTATTTAATTGTTTTTATTATTTAGTTTGTAATGTTTTTGTTTAATTTTCACTTGAGTAAAACATCACTTGAGTAGCACATTAATTAGAAGTAAACGAAAATGAAATAACACAAATTAAGGCTTCATAAACAACAATTACATCGTCACAACATCAACGGTTACATGATGATAAAAGAGATGAACATATTTTCCTATTATGGCCTAGGTTTCTACAATGCCTACATCTTTTGTTTTCTTTGAATGTCTCTT